AGACGCGCTGTAAAATTAGAAATTTCCACAAAGTTTCCAGTCTTGCAAATTATATTTACACCATCCTTTTTCTGCTTATATTGGCACAACTTACTCAATTTTGTGGGACTCCGTTTTAGGGAATGTGCAATGTGAAATAAACGATTCTCTTGGGATAGCTGCCGTCCGAGCAGACAAACGTGCTCGGCAACTCCATCGGTCGTTGTAGAGCTAAGGCATAAATCATACGGATTTGGTCATACGTGAAAGTCCGTGCCAATGAAAAAAATGCAAAGAGAAAAGTGTTCGAAAAACTGCAAACACTCTTTTCTCCATGGTGGTCTGGGCAAGGGCAGTGAATAAATGGGGAGAATTGGAAGGAACCACCTCGACATGAGAGAGAGGGGACGTGGATTCAGCTGCATATCATCAAGGAATTGAAACTCGCTGGGAAGAACTGTTAATAAAATACTGTCTTATAAAATTCTGTTTCATATCGTCCTTCCGAATATTGCTCTGCAACCCACCCCAATTTTCAGATTCACTCAGGTGAAGGCATTTCACATTTGGTGTATTTACAACAATGACAGACTAGCCTTTGTTGAGATCTAATTTTAACCTTCCACTATTCAGTGTGTGTCGTTAGGTCAGGAACCTCACCCTGCAAAGCTCCTTTTTGGGACATATTAAGAAATACTCAATAGTAGCCTACTTACCCCCGTCCTGGTTGAGTGGGTGGGTAGGTGGGTGGGTGGATGGGTAGGTGGGTAAACAAGCCTAAATGAATGAAAGAAAATCGGAGCTGGGGAATTCCGGACGGAGGAGATGGGGAGGGGAAAGCACAAATTGTTGCTTGATATCGACGATCATCTCTGTGCTAGTTCAGATTGCTATTTCGGGCAGGTCCTAGAAAGGAAAGCTTCTGAGCGGGTAAATCTGCAAGGGTTCAAGTAGGGTGAACGATTCATGTTGCACAAACAGGTCGTGCAGCGGGAGTCCCGACCGCACGAAGCGAGTTGTCTTGCCATGAGCCACGTCGTCCAAGGTTTCCACCGTCACATAACGGTAATGTCTTATAATTCAACTGCCTGCGCTTTACCCTGCAGTCATAACCGACTATCTTTTTCTAATACAGATTTTTTCGGATTCTCAATTCTTTTCATAATTGTAGATTACTCCATCAGACCATCACGTACAGCCCGACATGTCTCGTGCTTCAAATGGCGATCATCGTAAAGAGGTAGCGTAGTCCACTTCTGCCATCGCACTGACTACTTTTTCGATACCAACTATTACAGTAGACAAGCTGTATTTTTGACTTCTGTGGAATGAAACGCAGACTCAGCAGCTTATTCCCTTACAATCCAGGACACCACAGCTACAAAAACCTCCATACTTCTTCAGTAATGTCACAGGTTTTCTCTTTTTGAAGAAGTAGCTGAAAGTAATAAACCCTCATAGTACTCACCTGCTTGGACAGATCAGTGGCGGGCAGGGCTTCGTTCTAATTGGCGGTCGTTTNTTCGCATTCACACAGACGACAATGGCTCGGGATACACGATTGTCTTCATTTTTACCGCTATGGAACTCCTTAGCCACCTCAGTGCAAGATGTGGCACATTCGGTGAATTCTCCTGAAATCTACGAAATAAGAATTTGCTTCTGGTCAGGCTACCGTTCTCTCAAGTCGAAATAACTGACCTGATTCCTTCCACACAAACTGAGCGCTGTCGCAGCTGTCACCTCGACCACCACATACGCCACAAACATCGTATCGCAATGATGACCCGATGACGTCGTCACATCCGACCACCTGAAATTCTTTTCTGGAAATTGCATTGAGGGCCGTTATACTTTGACAAGCGCTTTCTCCCTGAGTGTGCCATTAGGTCTATCACCGTTTGCGGAAATATTCCTCCAGCAATACGTACGATTGAACATAATGAGCCACCATTAGGAGGACAAAGGTAAATCCGGAAGCACCGAAGAGAGAAAGCTATTCGTTTCGAAAATTTCAAAGTGAATTCAAAACTGCTCAAACCATTTGTTCTGCCGAATTTTGGCAACTGGGCAACTATTTAAAACTAGTAAGTAAAAATTATAATTCATTGAATGTCCTTTTTGTTAACGTGAACTATGTGAACAAATGGTAGGCAACTGTACTATTCCACACACTGTGTTTTCACAGAGTCCGTATTCCGAGTAAGAGGATAGCGCAATGGTTAGGGATATTGTTCAAAATTTGCAATCACCATGGGATCGAATCCAGTACAGGTTAAGGGTCCGATTCGCGTGAGGAACGATAGAAACACTGATGCCGGCTGGCATCAGATAAGCCATAGAAACCAAAGTATGAATTGGAAGCCAATCGGATGTAGGTTCTATTTCTAACAATGGATAACGAGGACGTGGCGCATCCTATATGGCTTATTAAGAGTTCAGATCGAACAAATATTCCCCGGGCAAGGATAATCGTAAAGATATGGTCACTGGTTCGAATCCCGGATAGATACACGCCCAGGTCAACCGAGCCTTCCATCCCGTTGATGTCGGTTAACCGCTTCCAGCCTTGTTTGGAAGGAGAAAAAACAGGATTGCATCAGCTAGCTACCGCAAGTCACTGTGTATGCCACATTTGCATTCAAAACTCCACCACGATTCTGAACGGAAATCGAATGCTGGGCGCATTCCAGCGAAGTAGCTGAATGAATCTAGAAGGCATTCGAGATTTTCACGCTTACAGAAAAAGGGTACATGGACGGAGTAAATCATAAGCTCTAAAATCCAATACCAGGGTGCACTCTCATTCAAACACCTTTTCGCTTCGATTGAAGTCGAATGCGTGGCCTGACTAGAAAGACCACAGATGTTGCACTCTATTTTTCTTGTCTCCAGCATGGGCGGAGGTGGTTTAGTGGCAAGTGGTGCACTATATCACACGCATGGTTAGGGGTTCGAATCCAGGATCGATGCTCGCTCCAACTAAGCCTT